AACTTGTAATGATTTTGTTTTTCTTAAAGGAATCTTGCGCGGAAAAATCATGATTCTATTTCAGCCATAAATCACTGGCTTGAGACTCATTATCCACGATAATAGTGAAAAGAACTGAAGTATTGCTTTCGTTTTGATTAGAAATTCGAAAACTCGAAAAGGCTGCTACGCGTTCGAATTGCCCACGGACGTCTTTCACGAATGCTGGCGACGGGGATGCTCAAACTTGGTTCTTGGAGTGCATTCACTAGAAGCTCTTTCTGGCCTTCTGCTTCGTTGCATTCACATCTTACACTTCTACTCCATCCTATTCCATCGATCGATTTGTCTCCACTCTCCGAAATCGCGCGCTTTAACCCGATTCTCTCATTGCGTCGCCTGGTACGTAGCCGGCCAAACGCCGTCTTCTTTCCATGCCTCGCCTGGCTCTGCCTCCTGGTCCTTCGATGGTCCATAACGTGTAGTTTTTGTACGTTTGTTTCTCTTCAGAAACCGAATCTTCATGCGTGAAACTTTGTGTGCTATTTCCAGTGATCACAACTGACATATTCATGTTAGGAAAGAGTGCAAGAATTTTCCGCGCAAGATTCCTTAACCAAGTAAAGCGCTTCCGGTACGCATTTCAGCCCTGTTATGTTGCTGCAAGTAGCAGAACCGGAAACGGAGCGCTACGTATTCTCAAGTAAACCACGTCCCATCAATTGACGAAGGCTTCTTCGATAGTCAATGTTCGGAACAATGAACAACCTTGTTTCCCGAATCTTCACGCAACGTGAAACCCCTTTTTTGCCCCAAGCGTCCTTTTTTTTCCACCCCCAATGGACGCCCAAAATGTCGAATACTAAACAAGATCCGAATCCTCTCTAACCAACACAAGAGGCGCCAAAATACGAAGATCTGGCATCGATCCGCCCCAAGGGAACGCCACAAAAGACTGAGAAGGGATGCTAGCAAGTCGGCCGTCGCGAGACGCGCTCGTGAACATTCATGGCGTCCAGTTCTGCGCCAGGGATGACCACTCGATCACATTTTTGTCAATCGAGCATTGCAACGAGATTTATGTCTCCGGTGAGCGTAAAGTTAAGGTGGAAATAAAAATGGACGAAATCACCACGGTCTCCGTTGCAATTGGGCCGTAGAATTAATGCCGGGGAAATTTCGCAGCCGTTCGAATTAGGAGCGGGTGTATACCAAATGAGATCTCAATGATTTCACCTGCGGAACGGTTAGTCTCATCAGAGCTCCAGTTCGTTCTCTTTCCGTGGTTACTGTAGCCAAATACATTTCTGCTGTGCTATCCAATTGATATCCAAAGCGTAAAATCTTAAACAGTCGATTAATTTTCTCTTGGAGAGGTGCCAAATGGAAAATGAAACGAACCTGCAGGAAAAAGAACCCATACCAGGATTTTGCAAGAGAAATGCCAGAATAATAGATGGCTGTAAAAATAACCGATAACATAAACATTGCTTTCGGTCCGGCAGTGTCGGCCATCTGTAACGAAATGTCAACATAGTGAATGTCAACATAAAGTAAACAGGAAAATGGCTCCTGGTATAGGGAAATGTAGAAAAGAGGAATATTACGAATTGCATGTATGTTCACCTGTCCGAAAGCCAAAGCACCAACTGCATTACATACACTTCCAAAAGCTTGAATATAGCCCAAATCGACTATGGTCATTACTTCAGTGGTATCCCATTGAAGAAAGGACAACAACGTTGTCGTCCATTGTGTACCCAAATGCCATAGTCCGAATATGAGGCATAGCACGAGCATAACTCGTTGCTGCTTTTCGAGCCCCATCTTGTTTTTGTATGATTACGGCAACAACTGAAAAGCAGCGTTAAACAATTAGAAGTGTTATGGCTAGTTAAACTGGTGCAGATGGAGTAGGTGATAGATATCCAGGATGAGCAACACGGCTACGGACTGGTTGTGACCGACGTTGGCGACGCAAGACGTGCTTGCTCCGCCCTACACCGTCCTATTTTCACTTTCGTCTCGTCGACTGCGTTCTCTGATGCAATACAGGTTTCCCGCGATGAGGCGCACACGATCGGTTTGGTGACTTTTTCGTAGCGTTGGCGTTCTTCAGAGTTGTCCACGCTCGGCGAATTTCAAGTAGTCCCAATTGACGTGGGCTCAGATTGTACTGCGTTACACTCTCGCCTTCAACAACTTGGGAGAATTCAAGTCGGAGATCGTAGAATTTGTCTAGTTGCTTAGCGCAGCTTATCAGTACTATTAAAGTATGGGTACGGTCTAGAACTGCTTGATAACCGTTTCACGTATCCGGAAGAGGGAATGGTTTTTCAAGATCCCTAAGTGACTTTATAGAGATCTTAGCTCATAGAGGCTCATCTTTGTAGAGGTGATGAGTGGGGGTTACACTTACCCTAGTATATGGCGCCAAGAAGTTCTGCCCTACAGACCACACAACACAAGTGACGATCGAATTTCTGATATTTACTATTAACACATTGGCGACAATGTCGCCCGATGCCGGGCGACACCCCTTGAATTTTATTCCTTTGCGCATATTCCAAATTTTGAGCGGTGCTATATTAACCCGGAATACGTTGTCAAACTTGTAATGGCCACGTTCTTTGAACATCTTTCACAGTGAAAGTTTTACAGAAGGGTTGCTTGGAATTGCTTCTTCAGTGATAAGGTTGTCTTTCTTGATGTAGAAA